GCACCATAGAGTGTCTTTCCATACTCGTATTGTTAATCGTCGGTCTTCTTTATGTAAATTGGTGCATACGGACATTTGGGGTCCTACTCGTCAAACTAGTCAATCAGGTCTTTCTTATTTTGTTACCTTTGTTGATGACTATTCAAGGATGACTTGGTTGTTTTTAATGAAAGACCGTTCTAAACTCTTTTCCATATTTCAATTATTTTTAAAAGAAATTGAAGTTTAATTTGGTTGTGTTGTACGAACTTTACAATTTGATAATGCTATGGAATATGTCAAAGGTGTTATTTCTACCTTTTGCGACTCTCGTGGCATGTTGTACCAAACTTCTTGTTCTTATACCCCCCAACAAAATGGTGTAGCCGAACAAAAAAATAGGCATTTAATTAAAATAGCTCAGACATTGATGATCCATTTGCATCTTCCAAAGGCATTTTGGGGAGATGCTGTTTTAACTGCTTGTTATGTAATTAATCGTATGCCATTTTCTGTTCTTCATTGGAAATGTCCTTATTCCATTGTTTTTCTTACCCGGCCATTATTTGCATAACCACCTCGTGTTTTTGGGTGTGTGTGCTTTGCTCACATATTACGCCCTGGCATTGATAAATTGTTTCCTCATGCCATTAAGTGTGTTTTTATTGGGTACTCTCGGACTCAAAAGGGTTATAAATGTTGGGATCCTAGCACTCGTAGTGCTTTTGTGTGCATGGACGTTACCTTTTTTGAGGACACTCCTTATTTTTCTTCATATAGTTCGTCTTTAGATACCGAGTTGTTGTTTCCGTTGCCTGTTATGTAGCACTCATCAACCTATGTCCCACCACGACCACTGCCACCGCCACCTCAAGTGCCACCGCCACTTCAAGTGTATAGTCGCCGCTCACAGGTAGCACCCCCCCTAATTGTCTACTTCTATTGAGGCTCCTGTTGCTGCTGATGATCTTCCTATTGCCTTACGCAAAGGTATTCGATCTTGTGTTACTGCACATCCTATTTCTCACTTTGTCTCATATAATCATGTTCACCAATTTTATCTTATTTTTTTATATCTAAATTGTCTGCTATACTTGTTCCCAAGACTTTACCAAATGTTCTTTCTCATCTTGGTTGGAGACAAGCCATGATCGATGAAATGGATGCTTTTCATCATAATGGGACATGGGATCTTGTTCCCTTACCTCCTGGTTCCAAACCGGTTGGTTGTAAGTGGGTCTACACTGTCAAATATCTCCACGATAGTTCTATTGAGCGTTTGAAAGCTCGTCTTGTTGCAAAGGGGTACACCCAGACTTATGGTGTTGATTATGATGAGACTTTTTCCCCTGTTGCAAAGATTTCTTCTATGCAGGTCCTTATTTCCATTGCTGCCAATCGTAACTGGCCGTTGTTTCAATTAAATGTGAAAAATGCTTTCTTACATGGAGACTTAGTTGAAGAAGTTTATATGGAGCAACCGCCTGTGTTTGTTGCTCAGGGGGTGTATCATCATACTGTTTATCGCCTTAGGAAGGCCTTGTATGGATTGAAGCAATCTCTAAGGGCTTGGTTTGGAAAGTTCTCTACGGCAGCATTAGCATTTGGTCTTAAGAGATGTCAGACAGACCATTCGGTGTTTTACCAGCACACTAAAGTTGGTTTCATTTTCCTTGTGGTATATGTAGATGACATTGTGATCACATGTGATGATTCTGAAGGTATTGTTAAATTGAAGTTGTTTCTACAGAATCAGTTCCATACTAAAGACTTGGGTCAACTCAAATATTTCTTGAGTATTGAAGTTGCTAGATCTAAGGAAGGTATAAGTTTATCTCAGAGAAAATATGTGCTGGATTTATTAAAAGAAACATGTATGTTGGGTGGTCGTCCTGTTGATGCTCCTATGGATCCAAATACAAAACTCTTGTCAAATGAGGGTGATCTATTTGATGATCCTGGCAGATATCGACGGCTTATTGGGAAATTAATTTATCACACTATCACTCGACCTGATATCTCATATGCAGTTAGTGTTATAAGTCAGTTCATAGGATCTCCTAGGATGCCACATTAGAATGCAGTTTTTCGGATTATCAGATACCTCAAACAAGCTCCAGGTTTTGGGTTGCTATATAAACCAAATGGACATCTTAGGGTAGAAGGTTTCACAGATGCTGACTGGGCTGGTTCTCCCTCAGATAGGAGATCTACTACAGGCTACTGCATATTTTTTGGTGAAAATCTTGTTACGTGGAAAAGTAAAAAGCAAACAGTGGCAGCAAGGTCTAGCGTTGAAGCAGAGTATAGGGTGATGGCCCATACCTCTAGTGAGTTAACGTGGATATAACATTTTCTTGAGGAACTTGGGTTAATAGTCAAGACTCCTATTCCATTGTTCTGTGATAACCAAGCAGCTGTTCATATTGCATCCAATCCGGTATTTCATAAAAGAACCAAGCATATTGAAGTTGATTGTCACTTCACCCGAGAGAAAATATTGAGCGGGAACATCTCTACTCCATTTGTGAAGTCTGAAGATCAATTAGCTGATATGTTTACAAAGGCTCTTGGTCATAATCGGTTAAAAGCAATTTGTTCCAAGCTGGGATTATATGATATATATTCTCCAGCTTGAGGGAGAGTGTTAGAATAGTTATATGTAAATAGGCATTTATGTTAGGGTCATATTGTAATTAGACATAGGGTTTGTGGCCATTATGTAAATAGGCCTTTCTTATATTATATATATATATTGTGTTGTGTGTAAGGGTTTAATATATGAAGAAGAGGGTTGCGCCTCTCTTATCAGAGCTCTCTCTCTCGTTCTACACACTCTCTCTCTTATGTATAAAAACAATAGATGCCTCACACCAGAAATGAGGCTCTGATACATCATCTTACACCAGAAAACAGATTCAAAATGCCCAATTCATCATTTTCAATGGTATACATTCACAATATATATATATATATATATCTGATGTGAATTACAACTCTCTTAATGAATCAAACATTTAGAAATATTCATGTTCACATGTGTCTCGAGTGTCATACACAATGTAGCTCAATATTAGAGCTTTCACAACTCACACAAGAGGCACCTTATACAATATGCTATAATAGTATATATATACTAGTATAATGTAGTTGATATAGCCCTAAATTAGGATAGAATTGTGGCGCATTCTACCAATCATTAGAGAAGGAATATTCAGACATTCTCTTGAGTGAATGGACCATATTGTCCTTGCACAGCGCACAGTTTTGTCCACTAGTGCACACCCCTTTTGTATACACATACACACTCACACCAGTTATAGCTTGATGAAGAGTTGAAAAATTTGGTGCCAAAGAAATGTGATTCTGTCCAAGAAATTTCTTTCACTAAGACCACAATACACGTGTCAGTCATGTGCACTATATATACAGAAAGACCAAGATGCCCTTCAAGAGGACATATGTTACACATAGAAGAAATTTGTATAGCAGCCTGTGAATATATTGTAAAAGTAATTCTCTGAGCTCAGAATAACAATGTAGTATCCAATATACATGTATAATGACAATATAGATGCTTGAAAAGATTGAAATTCCCCTGAGAGTGACAGACTCCATACTAAACACAATACACCCAAAAAATGACTGTGATAGCCTCTAAACATGATTTGTGATACAATGTACCTTTCTTATTGTATTTCAATTAAGCTTTGTCATATTAGAAATGGAAATACTACTCTTGTATATATCATAATCAACCTGAGCACACCAGAAATAATGGAATATAAAGGGAATGGACACGTGAGCTAACTTTTGACATTTAAAGGACAAACCATGAATAAAAGATAGGACCACCCATCCGTAGGACCTCAATACAACTCAAGCTCATACACCCTAAAATATATATTTTTTCCCACCTTAGTGTGCACTACGTTTAACCTAATTCTTTACATGGTAAAGTTACGTAGGCAACCTAGGAAAAAGCCTAGGTCCGGTCATGTCATTTTCAAAGTACTCTACACCATTTTCAAAATACCTTATTGACACACCCCAACCCAATTTACAATATTTAATAAATTGAATAATTGGAATGTATCTAACCATCTACATTAACCTCATACATACATGACGTTATTCTATATCAGAGTGCTGGTGTTATCGGGACCAAAGCTTGCAAAAAGTGATGTTGGACTAAGATGAGTGTGGCCAAGTTTTACATTTATAATTTGCCACTACTACCTTTCACTAAAAATATAGTTAGGGCGAGTAGGGATCGCCCCAAGGGATTGGTGGGTCGTATTAAGTTTTGGAATCGAGATTAGGGTTAGTAGGTCGAGTGATCAAAATATTGGTTGGTGATTGAATTATACTACGATGCAATTTAAACTAAAGTAAACAATTGAATGTAATAGAGAGAAAATAAGAGAGAGAGATCTTGGGGTTTAGAGATCACCACTAAGCATAGCTTTTCTACACCCTTAATGAATGATTAATGAGGGGGGAAACATATATTGCAACAATAGTGTGTGTGTGGTTGTTTCAATAAGCATGAATGACTAATTAAGTATATATTGTCTAAGCAACATAGTGGATAGCACAATATATCAAACTAAGCCATTAATCCTTTCTTTAAGCTCACAATCCAAACACATCACAAGGTTAGAGACATATGCTACTTGTTTTCATAAGTATGGAACATCAAACAATAAGCATGGATTGTCCTCCCATTTAACATCTAAACTACAATTACACTATAATTAAGCTAATGACATGAAATTAAACTAATTAAACTAAGGAAGGGCACAATCCATCAAGAAATGAGTATGAACCATCAAATAAATCACAAGAGCATTTTATTAAGCACTATGTCTTGACAATCTCTAGATCTATAGCATCAATGCACATAAACATGCATCAATAACACAAGAAATAGAGACAAATACATGAACATTTATTCTAACATATATAGACATATGGATAAAATGAAATGATCAATTGAAAGCATTAAACCACACAAATCATTGAATAAACAAGATCTATGTATATAAATATGTTAAAACATGTATCACAATATAAATTCTCTCAAAAATACATAAATCAAGATGTAAAAAGCATGCTTAGGGCTAACTTTAGCCCCAAGAGGATGTCTAGCCACTCGTGGATGGTGTCCTCCAACCCTCAAGGGCTAACTCCATGGTAGAGATTGCTCATCTTCTTGGTTGATGGAAGAACTCCAAGCTTGTGTCTCTAACCTCCTCCCTTCTTTTCTTCCTCACTAAGAATATGATATGGAAATTGTGTTTTTAGTGTATGTATGTGTCTCTCTATCTCAAAAGTGGCTCATATTCCTTATATAGGTAGGTTAAAAATGTCACCCTAATGACCTGGGCTCGTACACTAATATTCCTCCCAATGATTGGATATGAGACAACTTTTAATGAGCTGAAAATTGAATTTTCTCGCACTTGGGGAAGTTCGATCGATCGAACTTGTGGTGAGATTGATCGAACATGGCTGATATCTATCGAACTTAAGCTAGATCGATCCTCTATGGCGGCGCCTTTTTGGATAAAGACAAATCTGAGATATTTTGGGAAACGAGACAAAAGTGGTAGGTAGGTTGGTACAACTGGATAAGATGGAATCTTTTCGATCAATCGGAAGAAAGTTGGATCGATCGAACTTTGTGGGATCTTTGGATAGAACAAAAGAGCTTGGATCCATCTTGAAATGTCTAGATCGATGAACTTTCGATCGATCGAAGATTTCCTGAGATCGATCGAACTTGCTGAATTTCCATCACTTGCTTCCTTTTGCTCCCACTTTGCTCCTTTCTTTGATTTTTCTCAAGATTGCTTCAATTATGCTCTTATTTAGCTCAGTTAGCTTATTTTGGGGATAAGTACCTGAAAATTGAAATAACACAAAATTAATCTAAAATGGGAAAGTAAAATAGATAAAGATTCCAAGATACCTAAGCTTAAGGGGTTTAAATGCGCACTTTTCAGCACTCATCAAGTGCCTGCTTAAAAGTTTACAATTTAAAAAAAAAAAAAAAACTATAAATCCACCTTGCAAGTTCTAAGAAAACTAAACAATTAACTACAAGTCACAATATTAAATTCTACTACAATATTTACATTTTATACAAAATACGTTCCATTATTCTTTTCCTCATTCACACCCAAGACTCTAGACCTGGCAGAAGCAATCCACCATTGTACCTGAAAAATTATAGATATAGAAGGAGTGAGCTTAAAGCTCAGTGAATGCAACATTAGCTACTACATCAGAGTAATATAAACAAATATTATCTGATAACTTCAATTAAACTTTATTAACATATAACTTCTAACTTTACAAGGCATTAAAATATAGTACTCTCCTTTTAGACCAGAGTATGGACCTTATATAATATAGTACTCTACTTCTTGACAGAGTATGAACCTTATATAATATATTACTCTCCTTACAGGCTGGAATATGAACCTTATATAATATATTACTTTCCTTCAAGACCAGAGTATAGACCTTATATAATATAATCAAATTATATATATGCATCTTCATTTCACATAAATAGCTTCAGTACTTTAATTAGACACATTCAAGTGTATACTTCCAGTGAGTACACTCACCTTAACTACTTCTCAAATTATCTACTTATCCTTTGATATTGCCGAAGTGATCGGTTCCTTCTCGTTGACTAAACAATATTATAACCATGTCATATTCATTTTTAAAGAGAGTTGAACAATAATTATCAACTTCATAACAAATCTCAATTCCATACACAATTATAGTAGAAATTCTAACAAGAATAATTATATTAACTTCAGCTCAACAATTTCATTAACTAACAATTATTTAAACTTAAATACTATAGTACTTGAATCAAGTAAAATAAATAATATAGATAGAATTTATGTAAAATTTATTAACCCAGTTGCTCATTGGAACACTAGACTATAAACTTTCGACTTAAAAAAAATATTCTTTACTTTTAGTACTAGCTACCAGAAATTCCAGAGAGAAATTTTCAGTTCTGTCCTTCTCTCCTTTCTATCTCTTTCCTTCTCACCTTCTCCCCAGCCACTCCTTTCCATGAATTTCATCCTTTAGTTAATTTTTGTGGGTTCAAAATAGTAGCCACAGAATACTATAATTTTGTTTTCTCCTGCCATAAATCTTTTCACACAAAGCTTCCAAGACCAACTTCTCAATCTCATCCTTTACCATAATTGAATTTATCTAATAAAGATATCAATATACAAATCTAATATATTTACACATACCCAGCAAGATTTGTCTAATCTAAAAGAAATTTACAACCCAATTAAGAGAGAACTAACAAATAAATAGAATTTATTCAAGAACAGATTATTATATCAACTACAAAAGCTTCAAATAATAAATCTGAATGATGAAAATGTAAAAGAATTATTTATATACCTATACTCTTTAGTCCTTGCCTACTGCTTTTGCGGCAACCCTTCCTTTTTCTTTTCTTCTCTTTCTTCTCTCCCTTTCTATTTTCTCTATTCTTCCGGCCTTCCTAAACTCACCGTCTTTTTTTTCTTTCTTCTCTTTTTTTATTTTTTTCCTCGTCCATATACATCTATAGGCAACATGTCACTTAAATGTTAAATTTGGTTTTCTCTTCTTCGTGACTCGTGTGCCAGTTGGTAACATCTTCCAAAGGAAGCTTTATTCACATACTGTACGCTTATATACAATTACTTATCAAAGTGCTTTGATGAGGTACTGGACCAAACATAGTTGTATTATGATAATGCTATGTAATCTTAGTGTTTGACACTTGTCCAGTAAGTCAATTCATAATAGCTTCCAAAAGAAGCTTGAATACATATATATATATATATATATATATATATATATATATAACATGGAGATAAATCTTTTTGGAAATTTCTAGCACTACTTTGTAAACTTCAGTCACTATTATCCATACACACACTTCATGGTAACAACCCACCATACAAACCTTCTTTACATACCCATCTCATGAATTCACACCCATACATACGTGCCATTTTTTATTTGCTTAGTCAACTAAACTAAATAGACATTTTTAAAACTTAATTCATCTTAATAAGAGTATAATAAAAATTAGAAAACTAAAGAAGAATTTGAGATATGACACTTATTCTTTTAAAAACACTTCAATCCTAAAGTACACTACTTCTCAAAAGCACCTATTTTCCAACCTCATCTATTATTGCCTTCCAACTCTCAAGAACACTTGGGTTAACTTATCTTAAACCATATTCTTTAATAAAAAATCACTCTCAAACTCTTATGTCACATTCTAGTCAAGTCATCCTAGTTTCACCTTAGTCTGAACTATGGTCGACCTGATTCACAAAATTTATTTAAGCGACATCAAAGACAAAATATGTAGCCGTGTTTGACAAGGGCGTTTTGGGGTGCCTATCACCTTCCCTAAACGTAACTAAACTCCCAAATTCATTTATTTGGGACTAGTTGAGATTCACATTAGGGCCCACATTCCATATTCTGGGCCATTATGTGACCTAGCACACCACAACTTCATGTTAAGTGACAACTCTGAGAAAATAAGCATTGGCCCTACCAAAAACAGTTGTAACTGCCCATCGTATTTAAGTTTGAGGACATCACGACAATCCCATACACTAGGTAGCCTTTTCGAGGTCCCGGAGCCCCAATTGGGGAAAACCGCGGGCGCCATAAGAAGAAGGTTGTATTCAAACTTTCCCTTCATAGGTCACATGTGAGGAGTGTAGAAAGATTTAAATATTAAACTTACACACTCTCTCTATAACAAAAGTTAAACCCAATTCAGCTTCATTTCCCAAATCATTATTTTGAACTGATGAGCCTCCTATATTCATTTGTTACTCCACCCACTTTCCCTCCCAAGGATTGGAAACTTCTACTTCAGCCATTAATAATGAGATCCTCAGACATCATTGTAATGACCATGTCATCCTCCAACCATCAAGATATGATTCCAGCAAATCAAGGTTGGTAGGTTGTAAAATGATGACTTCCAAAATTCTCAAATAAATTTTGTTTTTTTGTTTTTGTGTTTTTTTGGGACATTTCCTAAATGCAAGTATCCATCGATTTTAATATCTGGTCTTACTCTTAATTTGTGAGACCCATCCTGATAAATTTCTTCTTTAGCCTGATGATGGTTACATGTCAATTCTTCTAAATAATTATTTATTTATTTATTTTCTTTATAAAATTCAAGTGAACGCACACATACTTAGAATCGACCACTCAATCTCTCTTCTGAAAATGAGAGATGATACTTGATTCGCGGTCCGTGAAGTCTAATTGTTTCGTAAATGTGAGTTAGTGTAAACCTAGAAGGTTCCGACATATTAAAAAATTCTTCAATGATATAGCTTCCATATTGAAAATAAATGGTTGTCTCACACAAATTGATGAAAATGGAAATAAATGTAAACAGGATAAACTGTACAGGACACTTAAGATCTCAGTGTTCTGAAAAGACAAAAATGCCCCTTCTAACGCAACCTGCATGTAATAAAATCAGGCTTACAAATAACAGTTATTGCATAATAAAACATTCCAAATAAGGAAATAATCCTGTCATCCCATTGTTGCTACAGTAAAAAAAGGTTATGCGTTTGCTTGGTTGTTGATGATGGTAAAAATGAATTTGCCTGAACTGTTCATGAGACAACATGCACAATTTATTTTTTATTTTTTTATAAAAAAAAAGGGTTATGTGGAAAAGCAATTTAAGGAATATTTCTATAAAATAAGTGTAAGATGATGAAATAAAATACTTTATAAAAAAAAATTTATTTAGGAAGCACGAATACATATATTCTTATAAGATATGGGTATGACACTATATGAACACGATGATAAGGTAAATCTAAAAAATAAGACACGAGTACGATATTGATACGTCAAAAAATATAATATATATTTATATATATATAAATAATATATTTTTTGCCATCTTATCCATATAATCATAAATAAATAACTAATTTGAAGTATGTTTGTTATTTTTGTTTTCTTAAATTTTATATTATTTGTTTGTTATTTTTGTTTTCTTAAATATTATATATTTTTCTAATTAACTCATAATGTATTTTAGAGTGCATTGAATTATATTTGTTTTCTTTAAAATAATTACAGAATTACCCCACTGTATATTAAAAGTGTTCAAAACATATTATTGCCATATCCTATCCGTGTCCAATTAGAAAATAAAATATTTACTATTCAGTATACTTCTAACCGTATTCAACACGTGTCTGAGCCGTATCCGCATCTCCAGAAAGTGTCCCAAGTTTCCAATATTGCCACAGTGGCCTAATACAAGTATAAATGTTTCTTAGGTTTCTACTCATATTCCCTTGTTAGCTGTTTGGGTCGGGTTGTTAGTTAGTGCACTGTCGTTTGGTGGACGAGTAGGTAAGGTGGTCTCATCCGAATTCGAAATGTAAAGAGAATGTTAGAGGTTCTTATCCTACATCACCATTTGGGGGACGAATAGACAGGGTGGTCCCACCCAAGTTCGGTTAGAGGGAAAATGTAAGAAATTCTTGCCCCCACATCAAATTCAGATAAAGAAGTCTCGGACTAATAAGAGTAGGTATGCAGTACTACCTAATAGATTAATTTTTTGGATAGGATTGCAACAAGGCCTACCCTCATATCTTTTACTCCCTTGGTCTCACAACGTACTATTCCTAATTTACTCTCCTTCCTTTGAAGTCATAAAAGTAGTTACAGTTTATGCGGATTCACCCTAGAAGGGTAAATTTGGAAATTCACTCCCTACCACTATAATAAAAAAAATATTTAAGACTAATCTCTTCAAAAGTTAGGTTCTAAAAAGGAATCACATTTTTTGTTAAATGAATGGAGTATTTATTAATATTGTGTAAGAATATCACCCAATAATTCACAAATCCAACAGACATATGAGCCCAACAAATCTGCAGTCATCTAGTGAGGTCTAGCCTTGGTGTAAAAGAAAAAACAAAAAAAAAAAAAAAAAAAAAATTGGTGAGGCATCCTACCCAGCTTGGCCCGATAGTGACGAGACAAATATAAATTGATAGCAACGGTACACAAACACGAACAACGGGACCAAATTATTTGTACCATTGAGACATGCCAATACCTTCCCCACCTATTAATCATGTTCAAATCACCTGCGGTGAGGCATAGTTTGCGCCAATTGGTGCTATAGTGACGGGACTATATATATATATATCGACAGCAGCGAGACACGAACGGGACGAATTATTTGAACCACCGAGACATGCCAATACCTTCCCCACCTATTAATTTTTGGAGCCCAGAACAGAAACCTCTCAGGTGAGGAATTGGAAGAGGGTCCAAACCCAAGCAATGACAAAAGAAAATATTGGAAACACACACACACACACACACAAACAACGAAATTAATGTGCGCGCGTGTGGTCAAAAAATACATTGAAACAAAATATCTCTGCCCACAAAAGCTCTTTAAAAGAACTAGTTCCACGGACCATGATCATCTTGTAACTTTGATCATACCGCTCAAAAAAATGTGAATCCTTGTTAATATCACAATCAAAAGCCAACATACAATGTGCAGCATTTCATAGTAACCAACCCAACGCCGGCCATGGCATTATTCAACGGTTGGAATTGGTTTCTATTATTATTTTGCGGAATATTTATCATTAAAAAATAAACATAAATATTGATACCACTACAATGCTTTATATATATATACACACACAATTCACGACACACTAAAATTAATGCATATGTCATCCATACAATGGAGGAGAGAGTAAAACCACCAACACCAACCGTCTTGACTACTACCAACACACTATACTATATACTTCAAAGTGGTGAAATTACTGTAAACCCCTTTCGCCATCCCAAATTGTGGACTGTCAAGAAGCTGCAATTAATGTCATTTCACTGAACAGTTGGCGGGAGAGTTAAACAAAGCCAACCACCATCAACAACCTTCTTTGAAATTTTCAGCATCAAAATCCCACACACACAAATTAACTTCCATTGCCCAACAACACAAGAAAACAAACAACGAATTTTCTTTCATTGCCTCTGCTTCTCTTTCCATTGTAATGGTTGGTTACCTCCTCCTTCATCTCTCTTCTTCCTCTTTAAAGAATTAGTGTTGGAGTATTTTTCTACGACCTGGGCTACGGAAATTTTTCGTAGGAAAAGGTTTTTTGCTACGAAATTTTTCTTAGCTACAAAAAGGTCATTTGTTGTAGTGTTTTCTCAATCAAATTCACCAAAAGACACACAAATGGTTGCTAAGACAATTGCTGCTACAGCTGCAACTACTCTTCTTCTTGCTGGGATTTTATGCTACTGTTACCATAGATTTTCCATGGCTCGGAAGCGCCAAAGAAATAAATTTAGTACAAGTTTTCGTAGAGAAGAGGCTGTGGTGACTAACCGGGAGTTTGGGCAACAAGGTGGGACTTTGAAAGGCATAATTGTTGATGACAATGGATTGGATGTTGTTTATTTGAGGAAAGTTGAAGGTGGACAATTTACGAGTTGTTTCTCGAGGGTTTGGTTCAATTCTATGGAAGAAGAAAAAGATGAAGAAAAGAGGATTGATTGTAGAGGAAATAAAAATAAACTGAAGAAATCTGAACCAGTTCAGGAAAGATCATTGCTTCATAGCTCATCTGATCTTGCAGAAGAGGCACAACCAGTTTCATTTGCTCCAAGTCCTCCATGTGTGGTGTCAGAATCACTCCCAAGGCGAATGCTTCCACCTCCATTTGGGTCAATAAAGCATACTCCACCACCTCCACCGCCGCCGCCACCACCTCCACCTCCTTCCCCGCCACCTCCACTAGCAAAGAGAAGCCCTGCACCACCTCCACCAACTAAGGCAAGTGGTTTGGTTTCATCATCGAAACCCCCTCCTGCACCTAGAGGAAAAAGAAGCAGCAGTAGCAAGTCAGAGGCTCCAATAGGAGAAAGTTCAAAAGGATTTGGTGATGTCCAGATGAAACTGAAGCCACTGCACTGGGATAAGGTTATAGCAAATGCTGATCATTCCATGGTCTGGGATGAGATTAATGATGGATCCTTCAGGTAAATAGGGACTCAAATCTGTACCAATTCATCCAATTTTCTGCCGTTTTCTTTCCCATCACTCTAATGACTAAGGACCTATTTGGTTCAGTTTTCTGAGAACAGTTTTTTTTTAGTACTGAAAATCAGGAAACTATACAAAAATCTGTTTGATTGACAGTTTTTTATAACTTTGTTTTAAAAAGGTTTGTTTTCAGTGAATTGTCTTTTATATTTATCTGAAAATAGTATTATGTTTTCCGCATACTTAAAAATTGTTTTAAGAAAACTGAACCAAACAGACCCTAATATTTATGTTGCTGACTTCAAATGTGTTTATCAGATTTGATGATGAACTCATGGAAGCTCTATTTGGATACAATGCCGCCAATCGGAAGGCCACTGAAAGCAATAACATCTCAAGTTCAGCTGGTTCTAACTTTGCTCCGCCTGGTAGAATTTTCATCCTCCAGCCACGGAAGTCCCAAAATACAGCAATTGTACTTAGATCTCTTGGAATCTCTCGCAAACGAATCCTTGATGCTCTTCATGAAGGCCATGGGCTCAATGCCGATACCCTTGAAAAACTTGCGAAAATTTCCCCAACCCAAGAAGAAGCAGCCAAAATCCTTCAGTTCAGTGGCAAACCAACAAAACTGGCTGATGCTGAATCTTTCCTCTACCACATCCTGAAAGCTGTTCCCTCAGCATTCATCCGTTTCAATGCAATGCTTTTCCGATTAAACTATGATCCTGAAATCCTACATCTCAAAGAGTCCTTGCAAACCCTTGAATTGGGTTGTAAGGAATTAAGAACTCGCGGGATCTTCTTGAAACTACTTGAAGCCATTCTCAAGGCTGGTAACCGTATGAATGCCGGAACAGCCAGAGGCAATGCACAAGGCTTCAACCTTAGTGCATTGAGAAAACTCTCCTCTGTGAAAAGCACTGATGGAAAGACTACTCTGCTTCACTTTGTTGTGGAACAAGTAGTTCGAGCTGAGGGTAAACGTTGTATGATCATTCAAAATCATCAAAATCGTAGCCTTGGCGCAAGCAATGGTCAAGGTAGCAACAAAAGGGACGCAAATTCGGATAGCCTAACAGTGAAGGAAGAGATTGACAAAGAATGCCTAATGCTAGGGCTACCAGCATTAGAAGGTTTAAGCATTCAGTTCTCTAATGTAAAGAAAGCTGCCACCATAGACCACGACAGTTTCATCAACATGTGTCCTGCACTCAAGGCCCGGGTTGCTGAAATGAGGCACCTAGTCGCGCGCTGTGCTGATGGTGAAACAGGCGGATTTGTGATGGAGATGAAAGGGTTTTTAGAGGAATGCGACGAGGAGCTTAAGGTGGTGAGTGAGGAGCAAACAAGGGTGATGGAGCTCGTGAAGAAAACAACAGCATATTACCAAGCAGGAGCCTCCAAGGACAAAGGGACTCACCCACTTCACTTGTTTCTTGTTGTGAAGGATTTTCTTGACATGGTTGATCAAGTTAGTCTTGACATCACAAGGAAGCTACAGCAGAAGAAGAATGCGCCACCGAATTTGGGATCATCACCACCACTGTCACCGTCAACAAGGACTTCAGAGAAGTTCCAAAATTTGCAGTCATATTTTATGACAGATAAACATGGGACAACATCTTTTAGTGATTCAGATGATGATTTCTGAGTAGGGTAATACAGTGAGAAATTGATTAACTCAGAAGGATTAGTGGGAATTCAATATTTCTAGGATTTAGTTATGCAAAATCTTTTGCTTTATTTCTTTCTTTTTCTTTAGGAACCTAACCTCTAGGATTATTGTCAATAAAACAAAATGTTGTTTGATGGTGCCTGAATTTGTTTCCTTCACCATTTTCTCAGAATAAAAGAAGCCATTCAGTGAACAAAAGACAAGTTGAACTCAAAAGCTACCACACTCGGGTACATGTGTCGGGTACGGTATGTATCCATGCGTTGGATGTGTCAAATCGCTAAACAAAAGGACACACCGCTAAATATCATTTTATTTAATTAGCTTATTTTATTTTCTAGAATAAAGTAATATTTTTATCTCATATAGTGTTCAATCTGGGCTTTGAACTCATTTTAAAGTAATAATATAATATAACTGAATGATTGGACATGCTTTTTAAGTGCATGTCCAATCAAAAGTGGTCCTCCCATGTTCGAGCAATGTGTCCAACACGGGTACTTTATTACTTTTGAAAAGTCCATGTAACATAGCTCAAAAGGTCAAATTAGGGTAATAATTGTTGATCATGCATTCTAAATGTAGACAACATGAGTGTCCAATAGTGTTGATCTTGCACAGCCCAAAATTGCTCCTGCAAAACTGAAAAAACTTGTCATCCTTGCCTTTACTGCTAAGTTTAGGCCTAAGATCTACCATACTGTGATCTGAAAACACTCATCAGCTTCATTTGTTCTCAATATGTGGGTGTGTGTTCGAGCCCTGTTAGGGGCAATATTTTGTGTGCGCACGCATTTGCTTGAACTTCCCGAAATATATATCTCAATTTGTGGGTGTGTGTTTGAGCCCTATTAGGGGCAATATTTTGTGTGCGCGCGCATTTGCTTGAACTTCCCGAATATATATATATATATATAATGATAATGAAAATCATTTAGTGCTCAGGGATTGTGAGGCATCTGGGCTGAGATGTGGCTGTATCAACATTTTAAAAGAAAGATGAGAGAAAAAATAGAGAACATTGTTTTTTCCCAAGACATAAATCTACATAACAATATTCTAAAGAGAGGTTCTTACATGTGACTTAGTTTGTTTAGATGTAAAATATTTTTTAAAAAGTATTTTTTTTTTTTTTTTTTTTTCTAGTGTTTGGTTGTCATAAAATATTTACAAAAAACTATATATAAAATAAAATCTAACAAAAATAACTTGTCAATCAATTTTCAACAAACTATTTTGCATGCACCGCCCGATAGACTCGACCTCAACCTCGACCTAAACTTTTGCCAAAAACCGAAATATATAAATATATATATCTATATTTTACTTGAAAAATATATATATATATATATATATATATATATATATATATATATATATATATATTACTTAGTGTGAATGATACCGTAACATCTTTTACCTAAAAAATTAAATATGTACAACACATTCACTAGTAAATTGGCAGAACACATTAACATATCTGGAATCTGGATGAAATTGGCCAACAATAAAATCTATGATCCATTATGAGAGGAAAAACCAATTTTGACGAAGAAGTTCTCTTAAAACCCCAAAATGCCCTTTTTAAATGACCACAATACCCCTCACAAACTTCTATACATTTCACCCAATTATGTCATGTTTGGATGCCTCTAACTTTTTTCTCTGTGTACAACATCTACACTCTCTCTGTCCCATCAGTATCTATCTCTCCCTATAAATCTCTCTCCATCCTCTCTCTAATATTTTTCTCTGGTTCTTACATTTCACACAGTTAACACATACATGTATATATAAATATATGTATTATTACAGGGACTGCCCTATTAAAAGACGGGGCAGCCGCCCCCACTGAAAAAAAAAAAATTTATTTGCAAAATTATCTATTTCTTTTATTAAAATTTTAAAAATGCCCCCACTCAATTTTTGGGAATACCCTACTATATGCTCTTGTTGTTCAAGGTCGCCCCTCTCATACATTTTTCTAGGTCTGTGTATGTATAAGTTTTCCAACAATTAATAAATAAGAGAATTTGAACAAAATAAAGAGATTCCAACACTGAATTTTTAATTAAACCCATTTTTTACATTCCTAGTGCTTATATTCATTTTAGATTTCTTTCAATCAATTAACAGCACCTCAAGCAAGAGTAAGAACAATCTTAACCCATAGTAACCCTTCGTTTTCAATATACATTGAAGTATACACATTATGTAATTTGAGGCACTGATGAACAATTGAAGAACAAAGTAATCTAAAAAGAAAATAAACAAACTGTACTGAATATGTAATTAGGTAATGGAAATTGAGAACAAATACCTAAAAGGCCAAGACAGCGATGGAGGCCGCGAGGAGGCTTCTCCTTGCGCTCCGATAACTGAAAGCCGTCCAAGTTCAACCGCCATGAGCGATCGCCATTGCTGGCCTCCGGCAACAGAAGTTGCTCCTCCGAACGGTGGCGATCGGCGTCGAGAGAACCACTGGCTCCACCATTTTACGGTTGCTGACGAGTGAGAGGAAGTACTACCATAGAGAAGCGAAGTATGGGACTTCAAAGAACGTTTTGGGTATAATACATATATCATATTAATTTTGATAGATTGTTCCGGGGCGAAAACAATTGAGAATAAAATTTTATTTTGCTGACTTGTGAGAGTACCTTAGAGAAGTGAAGAGTAGGACTTCGAAGGACTTTTTGGGTATAATACATTTATGGCGGAGGTTGGTTTGAGGTTTACGGGGAGAATTTTGCTTTTTTATTAATTTAATTTTTTTAAAGAGTGATTTAGATATTTTTATTACTAAATTGATAGATTCTCAATTCAAAAAACGTTTTGGGGGCAGTGGAGAGGTGGTGGGAATGAAATTTATTTAGGGTTTATTTACATTACAATAGTTTATCTTAGATTCTTAATAAAGTATTTCATATTAGGTCCCATAAAACTTGATATCTTGCCTTTGAAGATAAGAAGCACGGAAATTCCTTTAAGAGTTGTCAATGACGGTGTCAAAAGACGCGTGTGCAATGACTTGTAGCGTCCTTGGGTTTGAAAATCTTTTTTCAATTTGGACGCTGCTTCAGAAATTTGAGACAATTCTAAAAAATGACTTATTATTAATTTTAAAATGGGGGCTCCAATGCAATTTAAAAACATTTTAGGGGTTACTAAAAAGATAACATAAAGTTTTAGAAAACTAAAACAACTCATCCTACTCTAAGCTCCAATTTGATTAGTGAATAAAATGAGTACAAATAAATGTTATTATTTTATTGTCTCATTCTTATCATGTGCATATCTTATAGCTAAATGGGTAATTTACCCAATAGGCCCTAAACAAGCATGGCCCAACAGGCCCAAAACCTATGACAAATCAAACAAACTCAATTTCAATTTGAGAGACGTTGTAACTGTACTTGGTCCTCTGTTTGGGTGAAAACTTGGATATGCGCACTAGATGGGGGCATTCATCTACCACATATGAAATTGAGGGAGAAATAGGGTCAATCCGGAGGGCAAGGGGGTGGTCTCATTCTGCAAGTGCAATCGAAGTTTCCATTTTCGACTTCAAAACCCTAGATTAGAGTCGAACTTCGATTCGATAATCCTGTGCAAAACTACGTTACGAGAAGATCATTTTTCTTTGAATTGTCTTGAATCCCGCTCTTGTCATATGTGGTGAATGCATGCCACGAGTGCCATCTTGCACAAGGAGTTTATGATATTATTTAGTTTCCAGTGTTATGATGATCATGAAATCAAGCTATTCCAGTTTCCTTCCATAAACTCAGTTTACTATGCCACGAGAATTTTTACTTACAAAGTGTGTCAAAACTTTACACATTGGAATTTAGAGATTCAACAAATTTATACTTGCACTCTTCATCAGAATTGGTCGACACGACATAATTATAACCTGCCAACTCGGATGACTACACTGTGGTGCATAAAATAGTGCAAATTGTGCAATGTCCACTTTTATCACCTCATCCATGAACTGCAACCAAATCAAATCAGGGCACTTGCAATTATCAAATCTTCATTAAAAATGGAGTCACTCCCATTTTTTATTAGGACATTTGAGTCAAGATTCAACTGAATTAGCCTTCAATCACATAACCCTCGAGTGATTAGCACAAAACCCTATACTGTTATCTAAGTCAAGTGTAATGTACATGCATATAAATCAATGTTTGCGCTCATACAACTTTTTTCCAACAATCCCATCCTTAAGCCTCTATATGGCATTCCACATTCTTGACTTACAACCTTGTTACCCTTACTATGTTCCCCAGACGGAGCCAGAATTTTTTTTCAGGGGCATTGTAGTATTTACGATATAATGTATATGCATATAAGTTAATGTTTACTAGTATACATATATATATATATATATATATATATATATATATATATATATATATATATATATATATTTATTAATATAAAGAGAGTGATATTTTGGAATGAAATTAATTTACTAATATAGAATATAAGAATTTATAAAGAAACAATTTAGGAGAAAAATATAGAAAACATATATAGAATTCTACGAGGGAAGGAGAAAATTCAGGGGTACTTTTTATATTTTCATAAAAATATATATATTATTATAAGAAATTTATATAAAATATAAGATAGGGAGAAAATCACCTAATGTTCCCTACAGGCCCTGAAAATAAGCCATACACATTTTCAATGAACACCCTTTGTAGCTTTTAACAAATTGATGCATTTCACTGAGTGTTGGATTGCTCACCCACCAATAGGGTGAGACATGTTAGTTTTGTTTGTTTGCTTCCTTTTTTTTTTTCTTTTTTTCTTTTTTTTTTTCTTTTTTTTCTTTTTTAAGTTTAGTTTATGGGATTCTGTTCCAATTAAGTACAATAAAAGATGCAAGCACCACCCCAGAAGAACATGAAAAATTATGATATTCACCGTTCAAATATAGAAGCAAAATAATCACAGGTCAAAAAACTATACTTATTTAGATTTCCAAATAACTTTTATCTAGAGAATCAACAAAATCAACAAGAAATAAATTAACATATGCAACTGAGACAGATGACATCAGGGGAATCAAAGGCTTTACTGATTTTATTTTATTTTTTATTTTATTTTTTATTTTTCCTTTTCAAAAT